AGAGAGAGAGAGAGAGAGAGAGAGAGAGAGAGAGAGAGAGAGAGAGAGAGAGAGAGAGAGAGAGAGAGAGTGAGAGATGACGGGATCTAATCGTCACGGTGATGCAGGACAATTGGATCATACCCAATGTGAGGACTCCATGACTTGGATTCCCTGTAACGTTGGAGCAAAACGTGATTGCAATCACGGACATGAGGACATTGAGGAGGCCACGGAGATGGGTGCTCACGCAAGTCACACCCCCTCGTGAAACCTTATTATGTCCCCTGTCCAGTGACATTTCTTCCGCCTGCCCTCCATGTCGTCTCCCCCGCGTACGCCGTACGGAAAACTGTTAGCAGAGGACCGGGCGATGGATGGCCATTGGCCAGCGCGTCCTGGGCAAGGGAGACTAGAAAACTAAGGCGATAATGAAAAAGGGATAACTTGCGAAATACCCCTTTAAGTTGAGATTATATGCCAAAATGCCCCTAATAGATCTAGGTAGAGCGGAATACCCCTCTAACACCAAAAATGTTTTGCGAAATGCCCCTGCGGTCGGTTGAACCTGTCATCTTTGCAAAATACCCCTACCAGGTACTGTCCATGTTCGCAAAATGTCCCCGTGTCGGGCGGCTGCCTACCACCCGAGCACCTTTTGTTTCGCCAAATTTTTGGGTATGTTTTCTTTGATTCTGCATGTTTCTGGTATGTGGGTGCATGTGACTGAGGGATTGGCAGGATTCTTGTTTTTTTTGTACTTACCTTTGAACAAATAGGGTCGTAAGCTGGATCAGAGGCGTGACCGAAATCAAGCCCGACCGCGGACTCGGACGCATGAAGCTTTGAAACTCAGAATGGGGACGGCCGAGGGCCTCGTAAGGCCGCCGACAAAAGGAGGTTGATGCAGGGTGGTTGGCTTTGACTCGGTGATCGAACCAGTATCAGTGATTGGGCGCTTCGGTTGGACGCGAGAGGAAAGGGGGTATCGGCGCGGCTGACCCAGCATAATGTGATCTGTTTCTGCGGACTTGAGGTGATCGATCGGTATCAGAGGATGGGAAATGAGCGGGGGAAAAAGGAAGA